CAAGTATATCATACATGAAAAGCAAAAGGTCATTAAACCATTTCATTACCAAATTTTCATTAAAAAAAATTCTTTTTTTGATGGTACATGCTTTCAGTATTGGAATGCATGCTTACTAATTGAGTATGTTTAAATCTTTGGTTGATAATACGGATTTTGGGAAATATGATCTAGTAATATAAGCCACCAATAAGGCGAGTGGCACTCTGGTGCCACTGAGCTGTAGTCTGACAACATACCAATAAGAACTAAATAGAAAATTTATTGTGGGCACCTTTCCATTAGGTTACATGGGGAAACTCTGTTTTCTAAATATGACACACAAAAACCAAAACAAATTCATCAGGGCTCCTTAACTATCACACAGGAAAGCCATAATTATGCTTGCAAACCTTATCTCACATAAATAAAGGGAAAAAGGCAAAAGCTTACAAAACTAACACATCCAGGATGTGTGACCAAATAGAATGCTCAGCCTACACAACAAAGAGGCTCTAGCTCCGATCTGCTGAGCTTCACGCATTTCAAAAGGGACCCACCTTGATGCTAAATGCATTAGAACCAGAATAACGTACTACCTACAAGGTCCAGAGGCATAAAAAGTGGCTGGTATACCATTAAACCAATAGGAACTAAAGACTTAAAAAGAAAGAAAAGACTAAAATGGATGTCAGAAGTTTTAATGGATGTCAACACTGGAAGCACTTACTCGTCTATGCCAAGAAATTTGGAAGACAGCTACCTGGCCAATAGACTGGAAGAGAGCCATATTTGTGCCCATTCCAAAGAAAAGTGATCCAATGGAATTGGAAATCATTGAACAGTATCACTAATATCATATATGAGTAAACTTTTGCTGAAGATCATTCAAAAGCAGCTGCAGCAGTATATCGACAGGGAACAGCCAGAAATTCAAGCTGGATTCAGAAGAGGACGTAGAACCAGGAAAATCGTTGCTGATGTCAGATGGATCCTGGCTGAAAGCAGAGAATACAAGAACGATGTTTACCTGTGTTTTACTGACTACGCAAAGGCATTCGATTGTGTGGATCATTAAAAAATATGGATAAAATTATGAAGAATGGGAATTCCAGAACACTTAATTGTGCTCATGAGGAAACTATATATAGACCAAGAGGCAGTTGTTTGACTAGAACAAGGAGATACTGAGTCATTTAAAATCACGATTGTATCTTTGCACCATAATTATTCAATCTGTATGCTGAGCAAATCCGAGAAGCTGGACTATATGAAGCACGGGGCATCCGGACTTGAGGAAGGCTCATTAACAACCTGCATTATGCAGATGACACAACCTTGCTTGCTCAAAGTGAAGAAGCCTTGAAGCACTTACTGATGAAGATCAAAGACTACAGCCTCCAGTATGGATTACACCTGAACATAAGCAAAATAAACATCCTCACAACTGGACCAATAAGCAACATCATGATAAATGGAGAAAAGACTGAAGTTGTCAGGGATTTCATTTTACTTGGACCCACAATCAATGCCCATGGAAACAGCAGTCAAGAAATCATACATTATTCATTGGGCAAATGTACTGCAAAAGACCTCTTTAAAGTGTTAAAAAGCAAAGATGTCACTTTTTTTATCATTGTACTTTAAGTGAAAGTTTACAATTCAAGTTAGTCTCTCATACAAAAATTCATACATTGTCATGTAACCCTAATTGCTCTCTCTATACTGTGACAGCACACTCCTCCTTTCCACCCTGGATTTCTCGTGTCCATTCAACCAGCTCCTGACCCTCTCTGCCTTCTCATCTCACCTCCGGACAGGAGCTGCCCATTTAATCTCATGTATCTACTTGAGCTAAGAAGCACACTCTACACGAGTATCATTTTCTGTCCCATAGTCCAGTCTAATCTTTGTCTGAAGAGTTGGCCTCAGGAATGGTTTCAGTTTTGGGTTGACAGAGTCCAGGGGCCATGCTTTCTGGGGTTCCTCTAGTCTCAGATCATTAAGTTTGGCCTTTTTACTAGAATTTGAGTTCTCTGCCCCACTTTTCTCCTGCTCCATCAGGAACTCTCTGTTGTGTTCCCCGTCAGGGCGGTCATTGGTGGTAACCAGGCATCATCTAGTTCTTCTGGTCTCAGGCTAATGAAGTCTCTGGTTTATGTGGCCCTTTCTGTTTCTTGGGCTAATACTTTCCTTGTGACTTTGGTGTTCTTCACTCTTTACTCCAGGTGGGTTGGGACCAATTGATCCATCTTAGATGGCTGCTCACTAGCTTTTAAGACCCCAGATGCCACTCACCACAGTAGGATGCAAAACATTTTCTTAATAAACTTTGTTATGCCAATTGACCTAGATGTCCCCTGAAAGCATGGTCTCCAGACCACCACCCCTGCTACTCTGTCCCTCGAAGTGTTTGGTTGTATTCAGAAAACTTTTTAGCTTTGGTTTAGTCCAGTTGTGCTTACTTCCCCTGTAGTGTGTGCTGTCCTTCCCTTCACCTAAGATAATTCCTGTCTACTATCTAGTTAGTGAATACCCCTCTCCCTCCCTCCCCACCCTCATAACCATCAAAGAATGTTTTCTTCTGTGTTTAAACCTTTTCTTGAGTTCTTATAATAGAGGTCTTACACAATATTTGTCCTTCTGTGACTGACTAAATTCACTCAGCATAATGTCCTCCAGATTCCTCCAAGTTATGTTTCATGGCTTCATCGTTGTTATCACTGAGTAGTACTCCACTGTGTGGATATACCATAATTTGTCTATCCATTCATCCATTGATGGGCACCTAGGTTGTTTCCATCTTTTATTTGCTATCGTGAACAGTGCTGCAATGAACATGGGTGTGCATATATCTATCCGTGTGATGGCTCTTATTTCTCTAGGATATATTCCAAGGAGCGGGATTGCTGGATCATATGGTTCTTCTATTTCTTGCTTTTTAAGGAAGCGCCAAATCAATTTCCAAAGTGGTTGTACCATTTTTATAGTCCCACCAACAGTGTATAAGCGTTCCAGTCTCTCCACAACCTCTCCAGCATTTATTATTTTGTGTTTTTTGGATTAATGCTAGCCTTGTTGGGGTGAGATGGTATCTCATTGTAGTTTTTATCTGCATTTCTTTAATGGCTAATGATAGTGAGCATTTCTTCATGTGTCTGTTAGCCACCTGAATGTCTTCTTTGCCGAAGTGCCTGTTCATATCCTTTGCCCATTTTTTAATTGGGTTGTTTGTCTTTTTGTTGTTGAGGTTTTGCAGTATCTTGCAGATTTTAGAGATTAGATGCTGATCAGACTTGTCATAGCCAACGTGTTTTTCCAAGTCTGTAGGTTGCCTTTTGACTCTTTTGTGAAGTCTTTCGATGGGCATCAGTGTTTGATTTATAGGAGCTCCCAGTTATCTAGTTTCTCTTCTGGTGTTTGTACATTGTTACTTATGGTTCATATTATGTTTATGCCATATATTAGGGCTCCTAGCATTGTCCCTATTTTTTCTTCCATGATCTTTATCGTTTTAGATTTTATATTTAGGCCTTTGATCCATTTTGAGTTAGTTTTTGTGCATGGTGTGAGGTATGGGTCTTGTTTCAGTTTTGTGCAGATGGATATCCAGTTAAAAAAAGCAAGATGTCACTTTGAGGACTAAGGTGCACCTAACCCAAGGCATGGTCTTTTCAATCACCTCATAGGCATGCAAAAGCTGGACAATGAATAAGGAAGCTGGAAGAAGAATTGATGCCTTTGAATTAACGGTGTTGGCAAAGAATACTGAATATACCATGGACTACCAGAAGAATGAACAAAATTTTCTTGGAAGAATTACAGCCAGAATGCTCCTTAGAAGCAAGGATGGCAAGACTTCGTCTCAGGTACTTTGGACATGTTATCAGGAGGGACCAGTCCCTGGAGAAGGACGTCACACGTGGTGAAGTACAGCATCACTAAAAAAGAGGAAGACCTTCAACAAGGGGGATTGACACAGTGGCTGCAACAATGGGCTCAAACATAGCAACGATTGTGATGACGGTGCAGGACCAGGCAGCGTTTTGTTCTGTTGTACACAGGGTCTCGCTATGCGTTGGAACTGACTCGACGGCACGTAACAACAAATCAACAATATTTGATAGACAACAACGTGGCTCTATAGCAAAATTCATATGCATCTGACCCGAAGAAAGTTAACTCCAGTAAACGCAAGTGATATTTTTGTGGAAAACTCACTAAAGTAACATGTTACAGGCGTCTAACACCTATCAAAGTGAAATGCTTGTTTCCTGACAATATATGTACCACATCAACCTTTTTGTAAGCTGCAGTTGTAGGTCTTGGAGAGAGCCTTGAGTTTAGAGCCCCGGCATCTGGATCTAAGCTCTGGGATCACAGCTTTCTCTTGGCAACCTTGGACCTACCCTCAGTCATCACAGACCTGTTTGTCTGCAAATGTTAGTCGGCGTGAAAGGGAAAGTACTCAGCAAGCTGTAATATATGATGCAAAGGTGTACTGTAACTGCTGTTGGGAAACTGCTGTCTCCCAGACATCACACAGGGACAGTCAGAGGGGGTCTTGGAGAAAGGTTCCTTGATGGGCCTGAGACCCTGACACTGAGCATAACGTAGGGCTCTCTCCTTCTCACTGCAGTAACAACGGAGAGTGTCACCGAATTCTTGAGGTAAGCTGCATTTGCTGCACCCTTTTCTGAAAGAGGTTGCATGCCTGCAACCAGGAAAAATGAGTAATAACCCTGTGTATTAACTGACAGTTGTCCATCCCCCACCTCCATGTTTAAAACCCAGCTGCTTTTCTTTTCAGGGGTTGGCACACTACAGCTTTCAAGCCCAATCTGGCCCACCACCTCTTCTTGTAAGTAAAGTTTTCCTGGAACACAGGCGTGTGAATTCACTGCTGAGTTATCTACGGCTGCTGCCTTCACACTATAATAACAGAGCCGAGAGGCTGCAGCAGAGGCTGCCACAGAGGCTGCGTGGCCTGTAAGGGCAAAGACATTTAGTATCTGGCCCCTTACGAAAAAAAGGCTGCTGACCCCTGCTCTTTTTCATATGCTTGTTTCCATAACCGAGTTAGTAAGAAATTGTAGGAAGTTATACGGGGATTTCACTAACAGTTAACAATTTCTACTCTAGAAAAAGATATAAAAAAGGGTAAGAAATCATGTCTGTTGTCAGAAACCTTTCAGTGGGATAAGTTTTGCCAACTTACCTGGATAATTGAGATTCCACCTTGAGGTAGAGGTTAGATGATACCCAGGTATTATTTGAGAACTGTGTTTCCTAGAAAATAAAAGGTATGTGAAACACTTTGAAAGTTCCTATCTCTTGGTGTCCAGAAATTTCTCTCACTGAGTTTAAAAACACTCAAAGTACCATCTGTCTACTCCAGAGAGTGAAGGCAACCCCAAGATGGCAGGAAGCTAAAACAGATACCACCACATCCTTATTTCCATATGTTTTCTAATTTGGTCATACTAATTCAGCACAGAGAAAAATTCTTCCAAATGCTCAGCATCTGGCTCTCCTGACAAACATGCGTCGCTCTACTCATGGAGCGAGAACACAGATTCCTGACCATATTCTGAAATAAATTTCAACTCAGGAAGAAGCACAACAAGCAAATTTTATCTAGTAAATAAACTTTATTTATCTGTTCCTTGGAGATGACATTGTCCACAGTCACAGATCTGCATACAATACAATCATGTACTATTTACAACTTACAGTAGTATTTTCTCCTCTGAAAAGTGTAAGTAAGAAAGCTAAGTAAACAATGAGGTGCCGCCATTTGGATTGATCATGTCAGAGCCTAAAGAGCTAGTCTTTAGCAAATACTCAACAAATCAACCTGGATAAAATAGTCGATTCAATGCTCTAATTTATCAGAAAAAAGCCGTAAGTTTCACCTCAAAATGTATTGCACAAGTCTTTTTAAAAAATCACCTTAAAAATAAATAGGAAAGGGCAAGCAGTTCTCTACAAAGAGGGACAAAAAGAACAGAAGAAGGGAGACTAAGTGAGCTCATAAATCAGGTTAAGTCTTTAAAAATATCTTTTCAACAACATAAAACTCCTCCCAACAGAAAACTGAAGACGAAAGAAAAAAACTGTCACCGTTTCTCCACTGACATAATCTACTTTAAAGGCAGTCTGAGCCAACGTCAGATTACTCTTGGTCTTTGGGCTACATGAGAGGCCCTGAATAACAGCTTCATTTTCAAAGAATTACAAATGTTGACAGTCTTCCAAGCAGCAGGCTTGCCCAACGTCACTCTCCCCATTTCTTCAAGATGAAGATCGGAGCCATGACTGAAAAAGAAAAAGGAAAAGAGAATTTAAAAAGAAAACTTTTTTGAAAGTTAATGTTTTGGGATATTTGTTTTTTTCAAGGGAAAATAAACTTCTATTTTATGATCTACGGATTACAGTAAAGAAGTAGAAGCATTCTAAATATTGAATCCTAAAGGAATCTTCTAAAAATCAATGTTCTTACAATGATTCAAACTGACCTACAGTCAGCAATTCAGGAAAAAGGGATTTTAAAGGCAATGTGGACCCTGCAGCCTTTCCTAGACTGTGAGTGCGGCCAGGTCCTAAGAAAGAACCGCAGGAGTCATGACGCTAACTTGACAGACTCTCATAAGGACGCAGCTCTTCAGACTGGATTTCAAGAGGAAAAGGAGCTCGTTCCTGTAACGTGTTGATTTTTCTACATATCGCAATTCTCCCTGAATGATGGGCACTGCAGCAAAACACGAACAGTATTTGGTGAAAAAAGCTAAGCCTCATCTGAAATTAACAAACATAAAATGCTATCAGGAACGAAGTCAAAACCTTCCTAATGAGGCTTCTCACATTAAAATGCTAAAGGCCGGTAGTTCAGCGGACCCAGTATGAACTTTAAAATGCCATACAACTAAACTACCAAATAATATTAAATAATAGAGACAAACTTTCCATACACATTGAATGGAAAGAGACAAGATTTTAATGTCTTCTCAATTTGTAAATGAACAACATAATCCATTACTCGTGATGCATTCTCATAGTATATTATTTATAAAACTAGTTCAACAATCACGCTGGGTCTAGAAATCTAAAGATAAGAAACAGATCTTGTGTTACTTTTAAATTCCTTTGTCGGTTCCTGCTTTGGAAGCTCAGCTTGAGCCACTGCGGGAAATGAAGTTTGTGCGTGACCCAGTAAGGCCGCGCGCGGGCCGTCGGGGCCGTGACCCAGTAAGGCCGCGGGCCGTCGGGGCCGTGACCCGGTAAGGCTGCAGGCTGTCAGTGTCATGGAAAGGGCTGAGAGAGCTGTGTAGTCTAAGGAGGACCAACAACGACATGTCACCTAAATGCAATGTGTGAGCTTCAAGTGGATCCTGAGTTTTTAAAAAATATGAAAGCATTATTCGGAAAACTGGAATATTTTGAAGACGACAGATAAGAGAAAGAGAGGGAGGTAAGAGGGAAGAGTGTTTAAAAGGTGAAGACAGTCAACTGTGTGATCGCTTCCATTTGTCTGTCAGCAGATGTTAATTAGAAATCGCCACGTTCAGTTACGGACAGCTGCTGAAGTGTTTCCTGTGGATAAGTGGGGTACCTTGGCTTAAACTGTACCTCCACAGGAAGTATGAAAACTGTACTTATTTTTGAAGCAACCTTAATAGTTTTCATTATTTCAGGCCAGCCTTGACTCTAACTAGGCGTCATGGTATTTTTATTATGAATTTGTGAAATACATCACTTCTCTTTTATCTAGAAAATTATTTTTTATTTCTCTCTTGCACATGTTTATTAATTTCAAAGACTATATTCTTGGAAAATTAAGAAAAAAAATACAAAATATGCAGTACTTCTCTGGACCTTTAACAAGATTTCAAGGAGCAATTCTGAAACTTTTGACTACTCTTTAAAGAACTAAAGTCCCCTACAATTATATAAATGTTATTGGTGATCATTAAGCTATATATCAGAATTAACAGAAAATCAAAATCAATGTGTCAGAATTAACAGAAAATATTTCTATTAACCCATAGCATAATCAAATGTTAATTAAGCAAAAGAGCAAAACAATTGTAGCAAAATGGTTAATATCATGCAATAAAGTTGATTTTTGAACAAAAGACACAAGACATTATTCTTCACTCACCCACATGCTAACTAAGCACAGACTGACGGTTTACTCAGAAGAGACCACTGCGAGGTGAAGTAAACTACAAAGCCAGGAAGAAAAAAAGCTTACTGGGTTAGTTTTAAGACTTAATGTAACACAGATTATATGTGTATATTAGGTTCATACGAATAAACAGACCGTACTTAAACTTCTCTCAAATCTTCCCATACCAAGGAAGTCTAGGCACACTATAAGGAACATGGGATACACCTGGCCATCCTAAGGAAATGTAACACTGTGCACCTTAGACTTTATTTGCAACTTTAATTTAAAAATTTAAACATGATTAAAGATGCACTTCACACTTTAAGTAGGTATTTATATACTAGGTGATTTAGGCAGTGATTATTTGCTTTATAAAAGTATTTCTTTCATAATTCCCTTAAAATTCACTTTAAAATTTGATTTTCACAATCTGAATTTACCATCAAAAGTTGCTGGGAAAATGCTGATGAATTTGAAATGAAGCATGTCTATATGCTGAATTCTCACTCCTACGTGTTTCCATTTTATCACTGAATAACTGTCTTACAACCCAACTGCATGCCGGGAATGGTTTCAGGAATAGCGACCCAACCAGAAATGTCACTGCAAACGAAGCTGATCTCCTAGTTCTCACTGCAGTAACCTTCTTACACAAACTCTGTCCTAGTGTGAGACGGTCACAATCCAAAATCATCAATTCGCTTAACGGTTTGCTTTAAAACCGCAAAAACAGGGCTTGTTTATGAAACTTGAGCCTGTACTTGGGTAATGTGATCAACCTCAGAAGGCGCATGTATCTTTTGTATTTAATGTGAAGTTAGTAAAAAGCAGCAAAATCAAAAGACAAACTGGAAAAAAATACTTGCAACACACACAACAGGCTACCATCCTGTAAGAAAGCTTTTTGCAGGAGGTACCAGACGCACACGGACGCTCCTGTCTCTGCGCTTGGGAGGGCTGGGAAGCTGAGAACCACCTAAGTGCCCATGAACGGAAAACTGGTTAACTGAGCCGTAGGCTGCCCACGCGGTCAGACCCACACTCAGCCACGAAGAAGAAGGAGGTAGATCAATGGGTGAAATGAGGCAAAATAATACAAAAACGGATTAAGTGAAATAAGCAGTCTGTTGGGTAGTACGCACTGTATAGTCTCACTCCCATAAAATAATGAAGTGATAGAGAAATAATTATAAATACGTACTTATCAAGTTGAGAAACCTGAAGATATCCCCCAAGCTGTTTACAGAGGTTATCTCAGCCTGGTGGACACAGACTGGAGGCCTGAGATCACGGAGGACTCCCTTTCTGCAGAGTATCTCTCTGAATTGTTTGTGGTGTGTTCTGCGATGATCACATGCTACATACTTCCCTCTCAAGATAACAAAATATGTGTTTTACATGCGGCAGTATTTCTCACCATGCATCAGCTTTATTTGCATTTGTTTCCTGAATCCACCTTGCATGCATCTACTGAGCCCACGGATAGAGAAAGGTAAGCCTCACGCTGGACTGGAAAACTTCTGTACCTAACAATACTGAAAGTTCTGAGGAGTTTATCAAAACTCCAACCAAAAGGAGAAAAGTGAGTAAAAGGTAACCTAAATACAGGACTAGTCTAGGGCAAAGCCCTGGTTGCGCAGTGGTTAAGAGCTCGGCTGCTGACTAAAAGGTCGACAGTTGGAACCCCCCAGCCGCTCCGTGGAAACCCTATGGGCAGGTCTCCTCTGTCCTACAGGGTCGCTACGAGTGGGAATCGACTTGGCAGCCCACAACAACAGTCTAGGGCAGAGACTGATCAAGATCAGTCGGAAACAAAGGCAACAGAAGATTAGCCTTGAGACACGATCCACTGTGGCCGTCTGCTGTGGCTGTCTGCGCTACCCAAACCATCACGGGTGCAACTATCCGGCACAACCAGCTGAAAACCGATGGGAAGGAGAAGCCTGCTCCAGGGAGGAGGACGAAGCCACACCATTTGGCACCTGAGTTTGTTTTAAATTCTGCTTCCTCTATATAGTGCAAATTTGTCCCCACGTGAAACAAATCTAAACTTTTTTTTTTTTTTTTTTAATTTTACAGTTAATTGAATACTACAAAGAGAAATAAACCTTAGGGATAGTATAATCCAACACCCTCATTTTACCAATGAGGCCCAGAAAGATGACAAAGATTTGCTCCAGGTCGAACAGGTATGCTGAGCTACTGAGATCTAGGTCTCCCCCCGGCAATGCTGTAGGTGGCTGGCTGGCTCTGGTGGTGCGGGACCTGGAGACGCAGGTGTTTAGAGCTGGTGTCATTCCTACAAAATGACGTGACTGTCCTACTGAGGCCTTCAACGTTTTACCTTACACACATTAATTATGAGCTCACTTTCCAAGTCTCATTCTCCAGGGAAGACTAGTTCTACACTTCACTACTTCACTACGGCTAAGTTTTACCACCATCCCCCCTACCATTACCACAAAAGCCTGGCGCAGGCGCTGTCCTCTGGTTCTACAACAATCTCAACAAGTTAACGTTAGTATATTCACATCCCACAAGCAAAGAAACAGAGACTCATGTCAATGAAGGACCAGGATGCCTTCTCTACACACCAAACCAAAACCAAACCCATTGCCGTAGAGTCGACTCTGACTCATAATGACCCTACAGGACAAGGCAGAACTGTCCTCATGGGGATTCCAAGGCTGTAATCTTTATGGAAGCAGACTTCCACATCCTTCTCCCGGGAAGTGGCTGGTGGGTTCAAACTGCCAACCTTTCGGTTAGTGCCGAGCACTTAACCAATGCACCACCAAGACTCTTTCTCTACACACCATAACCCCCAAATAAACCAGACTTTAACTATATTATAATTTAGTCTTACTTGATAGGTAACTGTTTCTCATCTAAGAAATACAGTCTTGAGATTAAACTGTTGATATTGTTAGCTGTGACAGAGGAGAACTGCTCCCAAGATTTTCAAGGCAGTGACATCTCAGAAGGAGACTAACAGGCCTGTCTCTCGAGGCACCTCTAGGTGAGTTCAAACTGCCAACCTTTCAGCTAGTAGTCAGGCGCTTAAGCCATCGGCGTCACCAGGGACTCCTGAAAACACTTAAAGTAATAACTGCTCTATTCTTCAAGGGGAGTTTTCAACCAAGGAGGATCAAACTCTCTGGGCAAGGGAAGGTACAATAAAATGCAGACAGACTGAAAAATCCCTACCAGCAGCCATGGGAAGCTTGTGATCAATGCCACAAAGCCAATGTACAATCCTCAGGGTCATAAGGCAAAGCTTTTAGAAGGTATCCCTCCGAGCATAACTGCTCAACAAGGGCAGCACTAGGGGGCTGCAGACTGCCAGTACAAACTGAGATCCACGCTCCCTCTCACACAGGCCAAGTGCTGACAGATGGGGAGGCAGCTCCCCAGTGCATCTGGGGTTTGTTTTGGCTTTTATGCCATCCTCCAGAGGTAAAATAAAAAAACACCCAAGGTTGCTGATTTTAATGGAAGAGAAATTGTGGATGCACATTTACAACAAATGATAGAAAAGATCCACCTGGAACATACCTTTAAAGCTGGCGTGCCTAAATAGTGTTTACATGATTAGTTAATAAATTCTGGAGCTTTGTTTTCCATAAATTTTATTGTGCATACTTTCTGTTAGAAAAAGAGAAGTCAGTGTTTTATTCTAATGAGTTCTGGCTCACTGGGCAGGAGTATGACATTTCTTGAGGAGACTTGTTCAAAGACAGTGACTCTTACTGCTCATTTGATGAATGACAGAAATTCGAAGGCAAATGTGGCTCTAGCTTCAGTGAGGTTAACGCTCCATCACATACGGAAACAATCGCCGTCACTCTCACCAAGGATCTTCTTGGCTCGAGAAAAAGCAGCTCAAATGGATTTATGTGTCCTCTTGCATTTCGGGGCCTCCTCCACTTCACACTCCTTAGAACCTATTTCGTATTTCCAAAGTATCTATCTGTATTATTGGAATTATATTACTTAGGCATATCTTTCATCCATGTATGAGTGAATGGATGTTATTTTTCCCAAATAAATGAAAGGTTCCACAAGGTTAACAACATGTCTTCTATTTTCCTATATTCTCCATAACAACTAAAAGAGCAGGTGATTACTGAATGGACTCATTCATTAAGCAAAAAATAATGATGGATGAGACTTTGCTTTAATGACTAGTGGAAAGAATGGGACTTTCTGGGCGGGTCAACTTCTAGGATATGGAAGAATTATTTCAGTTAAGGATCAGTCAGCCACCATTTTATCCTTATGTAGAATGAATACTACTTTATTCAGCAATAAAGAGTCTTATGTTTTCCAAAGTTTTTTTTTTTTAAGTTAAACTTAAAAAAAAAAGTCTGCTGTGAAAGGTTTTTACATGTCTCATAATTTACATTTACAATTCCATTTGGTGCCTTCAAAGCAAACCAACCTAAGGCTGTGCGTGTAAGGGGCTAGGGGAGTGTTTTCTATCACGTTTGCCAGGGTAGTGAGTCAGGAGGAGTCTGCAGTGTAGAGTACGTCCTGATCAAACGCAGCACAACAGCAAGAGGAGAGTGTGCCACGCTCCAACATCAAGATGATAAAGAGGGCACAGGAGAATGGACAGACATGCGTGTATGCGTACCTACGTGGATACATACATGCATACATACATGCATGCATACATACAAAAAAGCTGTTTTCTAGCATTTAAAAATATTTTCTTAAACTGGACCATAACGGCAGAATAGTATCCACAGGCGTAAACTGCACTGAAAATTTCTGTTTTTCACAAAGTTGTCTTACTCACTGAAGAGGACAAATTCTACTCCCAGTGACTACACGCCTATAAAATTGGATCTTCACTATAATTTAAAGCAATTCTCTCTATTGATGAACGGTGTATGTCACAGTGATACATTTCTTTATCAAAAAAATATATATAACCAGAAACAACGATACAGAGGTAAAGCAATGTGTCTCAGGCCACTGGATTCCAGGAAGAGGTGCTTTACAAGCAACAACGAGATGCTGGAAATGGACAGTGGTGATGGTAGCACATGATGAACACAATGTCACTGAACTATACACGGAAAAATGGCACGCTTTTTGTTATACACCTCTTACCATAAACTGAGATTTAAAATTTAAAAAGAAGGAATTAAATGCTAACCAAAATAATTGCAATTGTCCTGGAAAATATACAATCAGTATACAGTAGAGCCCTGGTGGCGCAGTGGTTAAGAGCTCGGCTGCTAACTAAAAGGTTGGCAGTTTGAAGACACCAGCCACTCCTTGGAAACTCTATGGGGCAGCTCTACTCTGTCCTGTGGGGTCGCTATGAGTCTGAATTGACTCGACAGCAAAGGGTTTTATACAATACAATATACAGTGGAGTACTGAGACAAAGATCAAGGATGCTGTGATGAACTTAGGGGATGCTCAGAAGGGGATGTCAGAAGGTGCCTGAGGCGTTGGGATCTCTTCAGGACTGACCGTATGCAGCAACTTCATAAACGGCTAAGTACTGGGGATATTTAGCCTGAAGGGGAAGCCTTTCATCTGGGCCATCTCCAAGTATCTGGTTCAGTTCCCGGGGTCAGAACCAGAACAAAGATGTGTGCACACTACACAGAGGGAGCTTTGAACTTTTTGAAAAAACACAGTCTGTCAGAAATGAAATGAAATGTTCTGGGAGGTAATTACTTAATGTCTTAATCTCTGTTACTGGAGATCCACAGGCTAACCCACCAGTGAGGGGAAGACCCCAGCTGGCTTTGGTGAGTACAGAGAACGGAGAAGCAGCACTAGGATCACAAAAGAGGTACAGAAATTGGGGGGAGGGTGCTGAAGGTGCTGCAGGCTACCACCAAGACCAGAAAAGGCACCAGAGAGAAGTCGGGTAAAGGCACAAACTTCACAGGGTTCACACTCAGATTAAAGTGGATCTTGTCACTGAATGAATGGCCCAGGGCAAAACGTCAGCCCTGGGAATTTTGTGTGTGTTTCGTTTTTCAATTATAGCTGACTGTACACAAACAGTTTTTAATAATTCAGTTATCATTTCTAAAAATGTCAAAGTTCAAAAATGCCTAAATTCTTTCATCAAGAATTATTCTACTTAGAAATCACTTGAAGTGGAGTAAGAAATTATAATCCATAAAACATCTAACTCATGATACAATTCGGCTTAAGAAATTATTATTGGGTCTACCAGAACAAATGCCTTTCCCATACTTAGCAGAAACAGCCCCAAGTTCTGGAAATCTCATAGGGCATATATGGGAGTCAACCTCATATATGCTATTAAATAAGTTAGTTCTTTCCCCTGAGGGTACCCATTCACATTTGCCCTTGACTAAGCTTTCTTAATGCAAATTCACTTCCATTTCTCAGGCTATGATATAATCAAGATTTTAAAAAAATTTTTTGTCTGTTTTGCCAACTCAGTCTTTGTGAATGGATGAGCCAGAGTGTAAACAGATGAGATAAAGTCTTCTATCTGAAGCCTACTTTGAAAACTTACCGTGAGCCGAGCATCTTCTCTCTCTAAAATTTTCTGAGTCTGGTCATCAGGAAACTTGAGTACACTGGTTATAACCTTTGCCATGGTCTACAAGAAAAATGAGAGATGATCACCACGGGACAGTGACGCAGGTGAAGCCTCAGCCCCTTCTGGCATGGTCTGCTGGTGGAATTCTTTAGTGCTCTCAATGGAAGCCACGACCAAAGAAGTATGATGTGAAGGTATTAGTCAAGGAAATAGCAGCCAACACCAGAATTTCAATTTGAAAGGACTCCTCACAATGTCTGGGTTGATATCATTTTTAAAAGATGCAATTACAATAGCATGAAGCTATATGAAGTTCTAATGCACTAGGCCCTTTGTCTTATTAAGATGAAACTTTACGCTTCATTCATTTTATAAGGCCTTTTATTTGTAGAAATCTATCTAATAAGTGATGCGTTGCCAAAATACATGCTCTAAATAATCAGAATTAGGTAGCCCCAAGTTCCTCTCAAGTAAGTCACATCATATATCTCATAAACACGGCTACTGCATGAACAGGAACATGCTCAGTAGGTATTCGCCAACATGCAGAACATCAGCCTGATAGAAATACAAATTACATTTTAAATAAACACAAGATGTTTTGTGTGGTAGAAAACATGATGAATCAAAACATTACACATGGTGGCTTGCAAAACAAGATCATACACTGTGCAGATCTAAATAAATATACCGTAAGTCAGACTGTCCCCATAAGTGCGTGGAAAATTCTCCTCAAAGGCTGAAAACTCCCTATTTTGTATCAAGATGAGATGTTTTGAGGAAGACAGAGAGGAAAGAAGATATCGCTTATGAAATAAGTAGGATAACAAGTTCAGTGCTTACATACAAAATCGGGGGGCAGTGCTCTCCTGGGGGTTACTACATCTGATGGGAGGGTAGCCCAGAGGACTGACTCTACCATTCTTTGTTCATGGTTACACAGTTCTCTCTCTCTCTCTGTGTGTGTGTGTGTGTGTGTGTGTGTGTGTGTGTGTGTGTGTGTGTGTGTGTGTGTGTGTGTGTGTAGGTGGGCAGGGCAGCACCTGGGGACTTGGGGTAGGTCATCAAGAAAAAGACGACATAATGGAGTCAACCACAATTTTTGGAAACTCAACATCATTAGAAAAAAAATATATAATTATTTCCGGGAAGAAAAAAAACTAATGTTTTAAAAATTCCTATTATGTGCTAAGCCTACGCAAGGTACTTTACATATTTCTAGTACTTATTTCAACTAATGGATCAACTAACGTTGCTCCTCAACCACACGCTCCACACACAGCAAGAGTTTAGTTCCAGCCCACTTCTTCCTTTCATCTCTGCCCCTGCCATTTTCATGATCAGAAAAACACCACTGAAAACAACTTAGTTCCTGGAGAATTCCAAAGGTATTTTACAGGAACCCTCATCCTTTAAATATTATTGCCCAGATAGGAGAGAATCTTGTGTTAAACTGAAGTCTAGACGCCACACATATATGTGGCATGAAATGGCACAACACATCTGATCTTGTAAACTATTTCAGTATTTATTTTTTTAATTAACCCTGAACCAATTTTAAATAGTTTCTAGTAAACTATCTATAAAGATTATTTTTAGGAAGTACCAAAAATCTAAAATCCAGGGGTTTGCAATTATAAGGAACATTTCTCTAATCTCAATAGCTTATGAAGTTCAAAGTATCCAAAAGTCCATTTCTGTTGACTATGAAACCACATATACATGCATGCACAAGCATGTCTGGGGAAAAAAAAAGAACTGTAGCTAGTGGTCTCTTCACACTTCTAGACAACGTTAAATGGTAAAACCATCTCTAAATTCATCAGCCATCCAGAATTTGCAGCTGATTACCCAGTAAAGACTTAAAGCTCTTCCCTGGCTTGTCCGAAAACACTTTTAATGGAGAAACCCAGGCTCTGTCTACTCTATGAACAATATCCTCAGGCCCTGGGGAGCACCGAATGTTCAAATGAGCCACCTGGCTTGGAAGTAACCTTTCCTACTAGGTTTTCCTTAAGGAGAGGGCTCTTCAATAAAGCTTAGGATGGGAAACACGTTTTACTGAAAAGGAGAACAGGCTGAGTGTCAGTAACGATAACAGTAGGGAGGATCAACACCTATGAGGAAGAAAGTACAGGGACTCAAGAAAGGCAGGGAACTCACTCAACAGCACACTGTAAGAATGTGTGTCCTATATGTAGTCTTCTTAAAAAAAGTCATCTGCCTCACAAGTAAGGACACCGTGTGCAAAAGCAGACACACACACAGGTGGGATGACACACGGATCCTGCCAGACGAGAAACAGCTGCAGATGGTGATCAAAGCACAAAGACCACAACATACTCTGGCTCACCCTAACACAACCTGGTCTCCACTTCAAATTCTTTGCTCATGTGTTGGAAGTGGGCAAAACAAAAGCAAAAGGTATGTCTGAAAACAGCTCTGATCTTGTCAACTCCTGCTCAAACATTTCGAGGGCCATAGTTCAAACTCTGAAAGCATTTGGGGTCCTCCACATTCTGAGTCGCCCTACATGGCGTCACTTCCACCTCACAGGCCCAATGTATATTTGAACCATACTACTTGTAATTCCAAAAACCCGCACTCAATTTTCTGCCTTAAACCAAACCTTCTGCCTGGGCTACCCCTCCTATCTGAGCTCATCTATCAAAATCTATTCCCTCCTTTAAAGCCCGGTGCGCACACACACCATCTTCTCTATGATGTGCTCCCTGACCGTCCCACAAGTAAATAAGAGGACTCTGTACCTCTTTTACAGCCCCCTAATTCTGCAACACATGGTTAGCTGAGAACAGTGCTTACTATATGGTAAACTCCTGGATGTTAGGGATGGTGTCGAGTTTCGTCTTTCTAGCAATCATGGCGATCAACAAAGGGCCACATGTAGTTAAGTGCTGAATAAATGTGCGATAAATTAAACTGAACACTGACACCAATTTTCAATATTTGCCTGTAAAATGCAATGGCAGAATGATAGACTACTCTTCACTTTTAGCAGACAGAAGAGTACAGCGAATGTGGAAGATAAAGACCAGAGAGGGAGTACTCCTCCTCAACATGGATTCTCAGCGAGGTATTAGGTGGGGCTGCCTGTGCCCTGGGGTACAAAGCTGCACCCTAAAATTAACCTTAGGGCTCAGAAAGCACAAGCTTAGACCTGGCTGAACTGCCACCACCCCAGAACGTGTCTTACATTTTTGCTGGGTCTCTCTTCAAGGTACTCAAACCCTGTATAGATCTCATCCCACACAAGTTCACAACCTCCAGAAGAAACAGGTTGAGGCAGGTTCATTTCACAGATCAAAAAAAAGGTGAAATAGTTTCTTAAGCAACAGCACTGGGAACGCAGCTTTAGATTCAATAATGAGCCAAGGTAGCCAACGTTCTGAGAGGCTTTTTCTTTTCTAAAGATACGACTTTCTCCCCACTGCAAACACAAGGTAACTTTAAACTATCTACCCCATCTCAAATCTATGCTGCTGTCCAATAGGACAGAATAAGAGAATACTAACTTTTGTTGTAAAAAGATAAGGAGGAAATTAGTTTTAGATATCTTTTGAATTAAAAAAAAAAAAAAAAGATCTTTAAGAAGGAAAAAAAAAGACATTGAATTACTGTGAATTCCACCCTGTGACCCATGTTCACAGTCATACTAGCTATTACTTTAATCTGTAAACTAACTGATGCAATGGAATATGATTTCTACAGATGTTAGGGATTCGTATTATTTCTAGCCCCGTAATTCTGGGTATTTAGCTGAATCCCCAACCTATAAGTTCATAATCACTCTTCGAAGATATTTTCTCAGGCCTGTACTTTTTAGGCTTTAAATATACTTGCTAAATCAATCCGTGACCTGGCTAATCACCCTATGAATCAGTTGCAGCCACACGCCCAACTTTAAAACACTAATTGCTTCCAAGAATAGAAAGTTCTTTATCCCATTCACAGCCAAGGTAAGATATCATGAAGGTAAGAAGTTGAAAACTTGTCAAAAACAGAAATTGCTTTAAATGAAAAATTTTGCTTGAGGAATGACTCAAGAATTTCCCTAAATGCACTCAATTCAATTCAAAATATTCAATTCAATTCAATTCCCATATACCCAGTACGTATACGGCTATTTTAAAAAACACTGCAAGGAATACAAATAAGGGTCAGACAATCTCCTACACTCAGACCTTATGATAAATGTAACATTCTAGAAAACCAATTCGCCAAGTAAAATTACTTACACGGTGTGCTAATTTAAAAATGATCAATATTCCCTATATGAAGGGATGATTTTTTTTTTGTTTACAGTGATTAACGTAACGTATTTCTAGATCTTCCTAAGTGGCCATTCTTAATTATGACCATTTCCAATCCTCTCCACCTGATCCTACAGCCTCCTTGTAAAGGAACTCTCTTCTCCTAACTTTCAGATCTGAAGTCAAAAACCAAAAGTAACCACATGCTTCCTAAACTATTCTTAAGTTAATGAAATTTAAAATTTTAGCATTTAGCATCATCCAACAACATTTTTTAAATTAATATTTTATAAATGCAACAAATATAAGTAAGATCTGCCAATTCACATTTGTGGACAGAGAGCAGTAACATAATTACCTACTGCCCACCATGGACATGTAAATAATAACCATATGGTATCAACACGTGTATTACAGTGGGACATATTCCCGATCAGGTTAGGCCACATGCCAAATCACCCGACATGATTTTATACCTTAGTCTCACGACCCATCATATACTCAAAAAGCACGTTTCGCAAATACTCAAATTCGGTAGGTTCTCCAAAGAGGGAGACATCTGTATGATACAAATTGCCACCTGTCAAATAAAAAAGATCAAATTGTAAAGACACAACCAGACAAACTACTGATTACTTAGAAAACAAACTAATAAAAGCAATCAATGAAACAGAGACTTTCCTCTGTAGTGACTTCACATTAAATTATACTCTATTATCAGATTACATCATATTGTCATATACCACACTACAGACACACGAAACATTCTAATTGGTATTTTTTTCTTAGAAAACAAGAATTATTATAACAATTTTATTTCTCAGATTTTCCACCTTCTTTTTTTTCTTCTCTCTTTTCTTTTCGGTCCAACCATTTTCAAAGGCTTTACTTAGGCGCAACAGTGGTGGTTCACTGGCAGAATTCTCGCCTTCCATGAGGAAGACCAGGGTTCGATTCCCAGCCAATGCACGTCATACACAGCCACCAACGGTCTGTCATGGGTGGCTTGCGTGTTGCTATGATGCTGAACAGGTTTCAGGAGAACATTAGACTAAGATGAACTAGGAAGAAAGGCCTGGCAATATACTTCTGAAAATCAGCCACTGAAAAACCTATGGATCACAATGGTTCGGTCTGCAAATGACCGTGGGGATAGCACAGGACACGGTGATGTGTTCTCCCTCTGTGCGCAGGGACACCATGACTTGGGGGCTGACTCGATGGCAACCAACAACAGGGTACCAGGGGACACAAAGATTCCGTAAAATTGGCATTTCTCTCCTACGTGTTATCTGATTGGCTTCGGATATTCCACAACGGCTAAAATCACAAATCTTCTCTATTTTATTAAGGGTTTAGCATCTTAGAATAGTATTCTATAGTTTTTCTAGTGTTCCAAATCTAAAAGCACTTAGTTTAAATCAGGTTTTCAAACCTGTCTGGAAACACAGGATAGACAAACTTAAAGTACATAAAATATGAATGCCATTATAGTGGTTTTAAAATATTTTGATTCAACATATTATAAAAATTGTCCCAAAAGGTCTAGTTCCTCTGTTATTCAAGCTCTATCTCAATCTAAAAGTAAAGAATAAATACAGTTCAGATATGTGGAGTCATACTTTGTCAAACTTTAACCGAAATAAATTCATAACGATGCATTATGTAAAGTCTACCCTTGCATCCACCCCCAGCAGTATGGCATACCAGGGATTCTGCAAAGGCCTCTGAGGCCATGAAGCATCTAGATGCTGCCTAAAAACCTCGTAAGGTCAGAGGGAATCCCTCAAGGGGCAGGAAGCAGAGAAAACTGGAGCCACAGAAGTAGTGCAAAGGCAGATGGGAACGTGGGAGTGCTCAGGAGGTAAAGAGCCCACACTGAGAGCTTTTGTTCAGAACCCAAGAACTGGGCGTTCTCCTGCAAAGTGGGGGAGCTGAAACACAGGCTCTGATTGAAAGCAGGGACTCTGTCGCCTGAGAGAGAACTCGGGAAACCTGTCTCTGTCTCTGCTCCATGTGAAAAAAGAAGTCCACCCTGAGAATATGCGACCACAGACTGGCTCTTAGGGGCAGCGTTCAAAGTTACAATATTTTTTCAAACAAAAAAATTCTAAAACTAAGAAATAAGTTAGATTATTGAAAGCTGGCTGTACCTCTGCAATTGAATAGAAGCAAACACAAATCCTTTCTGACAAAACCTCCATCTAGGACCCTCCAGGTTACCTACTACAGCTTATATGTAGATGAACGAGCTCACACAATAAAAATTACCACACAACAGGGAATGATTCACCATGAACAAGAATCAGCATAAACAATAAACAGATTTATGCCCCTAAAAGATTCCGATATTGGAATTATCGCACGCAAAATATAAATGAAGTTTGAAACGTCTAAAGAATAAATGACAGTAGAACTATCTCTATTCGTAGATGACATGACCTTGTACAAAGAAAATCCTAAGAAACCACTAGAAAACTACTAGAACTGATAAATGAGTTCAGCAAGATTACAGGACACAAGATCAATACACAAAATTCAACTGCAAGAAGCAATCTCAAAATGAAATTAAGAAAAAACTTCAATTTACAATAGCCGCAAAAAGAATACTCAGGAATAAGTTGAACAAAATAAATGCAAAACTTAAGAAATGCAAACTGAAAACTACCAAACACTGTTGAAAGAAATTGAGGATCTAAATAAATCGAAAGACATCCCGCATTCATAGATAGGAAGACTTAATACTGTTAAGATGGAAGAATTAATACTCTTAATATCGTTAAGACTTAATATTGAATTGAATCTACAGACTCAGCACAATCTCTATCAAAATCCCACCTGGTTTCCTTCCAGAAATTGACAAGATGATCCTAAAATTCATAATGGAAATTCAAGGGACCCAGAATAGCCAAGACATTCTTGAAAAAGAAGAACAAAGTTGGAGTAGTCACACTTGCTGATTTCAAAACTTACTACAAAGCCACAGTAATCAAGACAGTGTGGTACTAGCATAAGGATAGACATACAGATCAATCGAAAATAACTGAAAGTCCAAAAATAAACTTATACAATTATAGACTGATTTTCAACAACGATGCCAAGACAATTCGATACAGAAAAAATAGTCTTTTCAACAAATGGTGTTGGGACAACTGGATATTCACACACATCACACTATACATAAAAATTAACTCAAAACGGATCGAAGACCTAAATGGAAAAGCTCAAACTATAAACCCCTTTGAAGAAAACATAGGTGTAAATCTTCATGACCTTGGGTTAGGCGATGGTTTCTTAGATATGACATCAACAGCACAAACAACGAAGAAAAAAAACTGGACTTCATAAAAGTTAAAAGCTTGTGTGCTTCAAAGGACACAATCCAGAAAGACAGAATGGGAGAAAATATTCGCAAACCACATACAGTCGATTCTCTTTGTTCACGGTAGTTATGTTCAAAGCTGTGCTTGACACAAGCTATGGTATTTTCAGTTGCCTCATATGCACACGAAAGCTAGGCAGTGAATAAGGAAGATGAAGAAGAACTGATGCCTTTGAACTTTGGTGTTGGCAGAGATGACTGAATATACCATGGACTGCCAGAAGAATGAACAAGTCTACCTTGGAAGAAGCACAGCCAGAATGCTCCTTAGAAGCAAGAAGGGCAAGACTTCATCTCACATACTTTGGACATGTTATCAGGAGGGACCAGTCCCTACTGGAGAAGGACATCCTGCTTTGTAAAGTAAAGGGTCAGCGAAAAAGAGGAAGACCCTCGATGGGATGGACTAACACAGTGGCTGCAACAACGGGCTCAAACACAGAAACAACTGTGAGGATGATGCAGGACCAGGCAGTGTTTCCTTTTGTTGTACAGAGGGTCGCTATGAGTCGGAACGGATTTGATGGCACCTAACAACAGCAATGTTCTATAAAGTTGCCACAAACACCGCACTAGTGAATACTGAACTCTAGGAGAAATCCACGGTTAGGTTCCACTAATCGACCCATAACTTTGTTTTACGTGTGCTTTGGTTTAAAGGCACCTTATTCAATATACATTATTGTTTTATTAACAGTGTACTCACAGCCAGCAGCACTGTAACTCATGCCTGAGTGAAGCTTATCTAACTCACGAATGTTCTTCGTAAGGTACATCACAGCCTTCCTGTGCTTCCGGACACTGTACAGCACTTCAGCACTACACCTGAGGGTCATTTTAAACCATAAAGCCACCAAAAAAAAGCACAAAAAAGTGACAAATGTGGAACTAAACAGACCGTGAAAAGGACACCTGTTTACAATATGAAAACTGAGGCAAGCAGGCAGGGTGGTGTCACCGTGTTCAACTTCAGCTGGGGACGTGCGTGTCAAGTGACTCCAATTTTCTGCCACTCTGCACGTTGATGTGGAAGCATAATCAAAAACAAAATCTTCCACCAACCCAGACTCTCCACAAAAGTAGAAGAGCACAAAAACAGTTTTATTACTGAATAAGCATTAAATCAGACGATGTACATCACAGGCGATCCGCTGAAGAGATTGTAAACACAGAAAGGAATTTTATCCTTTTATATAGCCAAGCAGACGCAACCCATTTCATATATGCTCTTAAGATACACGGTGACTAGCCCTAAAGTAGGACTTGGCAGCACCATTTGTAACACATGTTGTTGTCTGCTGCCATCAAGTCAGCCCCTGACTCATGGTGACCCCATGGACAATGGGACTGGACCACTGTGATCCACATAGGGTTTTCACTGGCTGATTTTCGGAAGTAGATAGTTTTTTTCCTAGTCTGTCTTAGTCTGGAAGCTCTGCTGAAACCTGTTAGCATCACAGCAACACGCAAGCCTCCACGGACAGCCAGGTGGTGGCTGTGCATGAGGTACACGGCCGGGACAAGAACCTGGGTCTTCCACATGGACGGCAAGAATTCTACCACTGAACCACCTCAATTCACCTGATAACTGATATAGCTACCTGTATTTGCTGATGGCATGTATCCAAAGAAAAAGATCAACTTCTCCTGTCTTTATGACCAGAGGTAAGTTTGCCACTCAAGTTAGGCACTTATCCTCCCAGGAACCCGGGAGGTAGGAGTGCTATCTTCCTTGACTGATTACATTTCAGAAAGATGGCTTCCAGGTCCTGGTGGACACATTCCTGGGTTGTAAAACTGGCAAGAGGCAATTCAGCCTTTAAAAAGATTTGCATACATTTCAGAGAGGCAGGGAACGAACGTACAAGTTTTCTAAAGTAAATGCTCTAAGAAAAGGGAGGGGGGAAAGTTCTTCCTCTTTTTTCAGCAGGAAGAATTGACTCTCTCTCACTCTTTTTCCTTTCTTCTAATCTGTATTTGCCCTTACAGCACATCCACAAATGACCACAAATGCACTGAGAGTACCAATTTTGGGGTCACAAATAAATCTGAGTGAGCAGGTAAAGTCATAAGTATGGAACTGTCAATAATGAAGATCAACTGTATCTCAAGAGACTTGTACATATAAAGAACTCTTAAAACTCAATAACAGAAAGACAAATAACCCAATTACAAATGGGTCAAGGACCTGAATAGAC